GGAATGTCTTTTAAAAAAATGTAACCCATTACTGTATGTCAGCATATTTTTATTTTTCTATTTTTGCTGTCTTTGGTCTAATTGTAGACCAATTGTACTTAGACCCAATAAGTTTAACCCAGGATCAGCTCAGTCAGCCAGAGTGACATTTTAATCACTCCTCAATGCTTAAGTACCAAAAGTGTTTTCAACTGAATTCAACTTTTGTCCACTGGGGGCAATTAGAGGAGCAAATAATTTAACTAAGACTTATGAATTATCTTACTAATTTAACCTTGACCACGACAGTGAAAATGTTATTATATAAACCATAACATTGTCCATCTTTGACCATGAAATTCAAACGGCATTTACAGTATATCACATCTTGCAGGGAAGGTGGTGCGAACGGCATATTGTGTTAACTTAAATTTCTAAAATCTTTAAAGATAAGTTCAACAGAAAATTTATTGTAAACTAAAATTAAATTTACAAATGTACTTTAAACCAGAAGCTGTACCTTTGGCTGGGCACACATCAGGACTTTTGGTGACACAGGATTCCTCATCGTCACCGTCGGGACAGTCCTGCTTATTATCACACATCTGGTCTTGTAAAATGCAGATTAAAGACTGTTTGCACTGAAGAGAGGGGTCTCTGCAGACTGAAGCACTAGGCACTGTGGATAGATTACAGTATCAAGATCACAGGTAAATAATGAAACAGCTTAATAAGATGAGTGTACTGTACGTGCAGTCAATACTACAACGACTTTATATAAACACCGTGACTGCCTCACCCGGGTGTATATCCCCCAGTGCAGCGATCACTTGGGACACATGACCTCTCACTGGTGTGTTCTGGACTGGGCTGCCATCACGTCGGTCCCACAGGGTCATGACCTTGTCAGAGTGGGTCAACAGGAACGGCTCAAAGGCAGCAACGACCGAGCCTGAAATGTTCAGTCGTCTTTGACCCAGGTGGATTCTTCCCTGTAGTAAACTAAACGTTGTTAGACCTGTGTGAGAAAAAACAAAACAAAACCCAGAAATCTGATTCTGAACAAGAACATAGTTTACAAATAAACTCAGCTCATCTGCCTCTATAACATTCTATCCTATGTTGATGTCCACAATATTCCCAGTACACACCCAGACCATCAGTTTTTATTTTTCTTACAATACTTGCATCTTTATACTTTCTAAATGTTGGCATCACAGACCTAAAGCCAACCATAGTTTCCTGGCTTTTTAAAGTATCACTGGTAAAATTGCAAAAGATGTGGGCTTTTTAAAGTATCACTGGTAAAATTCCATCATCATTGCAAAAGATGTGTAAAAAAAACCAAAAAAAACAAAAAGAGAAAATAGTAGAAGAGGCACCACCATACACCTCTAGTAGTTCATTAAAACAACTGAAATGATTAATCTTTTACTTTTTTGTCTTTTTTAATTCATGCATACAGCAGCTTGAAAGAATTACACCCAGATCTGGAAGTAACCAACCTGCTTCTTCAGAGTTCCAGAGCAGACTGGCAGCCCTGAGGTCAAAGGTGACGCCCCCCTGGACATGCCCTGAAATCTGCAGCAGGTGCCTGAGTTTCCCTCCCATCATGCTCATGTTGTAGGTCTGATTGTCCTCTATCCAGAGAACTCCACCTCTCAGCCAGTCTAGGTGAAAATCTGTGATCTCCTTCGTGGTGCGGTAAAGCTGCTGCAGCTGACGACTGTCAGCAGTGAAGGTGCCGATTCTCATTTGGTCACATGACACCCAGTACAGGTTCCCACTTTTCTGGTCTACTTTGATCAGACAAACTGAAAAACGCACATGAATCAGTAAAAGGTTGGTGATTAAACATCGGTGACATTCAGCAGACAGACCTGGGAGAGGGGTGGGTACCACTTCAGCCTTGGACCCAGTCAGACTGGTACGCTGTAGGTGACCAGTGTGGTTGGTCCAGTAAATCCAGCCTCTGTACCAGTCTACGTCAAATGATAGGATCCCGCCCTCAGTGGAAAACAGCCGTGTGTCAGTGGACGATGTGACTTGGAACTCCAACAGGTTGATGTTGGTGTCAGTGGCGTAGATGAATCTGGGATCTGACAAAATGGATTTTGCTCAGTTTATTGCACAGAAAAAATATAAACAACAGATGTTCTTTATTTCTATTATTTAAGAAAGAAGGGGAATATAATTTTACTTAGGCTCTAAAAACTGCAGTATTACTACCAAAGTTAGAAAGGAAAGGTCAAATGTTGGGAAAAAAAAAACATTCTCTACACGACCTCCCTTCAAGTATAATTGTACACAGAGGCAAATTATTTGCAGAATTCTGGGGTCTTTTTCTCCAGGCGGTAAGGACTAAAATCCAGTTCCTTTTAAATATTCTTTCAGTCCTGTATCCAATGATCCCAGTAAGTAAGATACATCATTGTTGATGTATCATGTATGTATCAACTTCTCTTACAAGATCGAGCACAACCTAAACTTCATGTCCATGTTTTACATCTCTTCTGTTTCATCATACTGTTGGTAAACTGTCAAAACTGAAACTACAAATTTCAGGAAAAACAAGGCATAAACATCTATACTTGGTCAGAGTAGGTTGATAAAATGATAAATCTCACATTCACATGTTCCATCAAGCAGCAGTACTTTAGGAGTTGGACATGCACAGGTGAATCCAACTGGGTTTGCTTTTGTTAGTTGGCAGAGTTTACAGGGAGTCTTCACACAGGCCGAAGAGCCTGAAGGAATGAAAGTGATTAGGGATGCAACCATGCATTGTGAATTGGTTCAAATGGATACAAATTCATGACAATTCGTACCAGTAAAAAAATGAATAAATAAATAAATAAAAGAAAAACATGCCACAAGGCGTAACGGGGCGTTCACACAAAAAGCTCTACATACACAATAAATATACATGGCACTGAAGTAAGCTCATTAAAAAAAAAAAACACTTTAAATTGTATTGTGAACAAAACATATATATAGTATAGAGTCTATTACTAAACTCTACTAGACTCTATTAGAGAGTATATAGTTTATTGTTACACGCTAAGTGATGTTAAAACTGTTTTTACCTTGAGTCTTAAAAAGAAAAATCTAATGTACCTTAGTTACTAAAGTTTTCTTGTATCAGGACAGTAACAAAAACTGGTGAAATCACGAAAGTACCTTGTGGCTGCTGCAGCTCATGGAAAACATTCATCAGAGGTAGTTCAGCTTTCCATAGAAGCTTCTTCTGTTCTGGTTGGTTCTGAGGAACCTTCCACAGTCCTTTGATGTCCACCCAGTAGAAGAACCCCTCAAAAACAGCCAGACTCAGAGCCGTTCCCTTGCCCAAGAGTCCTGAGAAGGAGTAACGTCCAGTGCCGTCCACATTCACCGTCTCTATGGACTGGTGGGGGACGGGGGGAGAAACAAGTTCAAGGCCAATCACATCAGAGCTAAGGTTGTAAAAATGTAGGTCTTTGGGGGATGACATCATCCTCTCACCTTCTTAAAGTCACTGATCCAGTATAGCCTCCTCGCAGCCACATCCGCTGTAAGAGCGTAAGCAGACTGAGCAGTGAGGACAGTCAGGGAGCTCCGGTCTGAGCCATCCATCCAGGACTTCTGGAGGGTTACTCTGTCTCCTAGGCCAGTGTTGATCCAGAACATCATACTGGGAGACCAAGGTGGAGTCATATCATTTAACTTAACATTTACAGACCAAGGTGGAGTCATGTCATTTAACTTAACATTTACCCCCGCCAAATCTATAAAAAAACAAAACAAAAAAAAAAACACTTCTGTACCTCTCCACAGGAAGGAGAACCAGATCTGATGGACTGATATTCTTGCTCAGCACAGCTGTGGTACTTTTGCCGTCAGCTGCCTGCATGTAGATCGCTGCTGTCTTTTCATTAGTCCAGTACAGGTGTCCGTTCAGCCAATCACAGGCCAGGCTGTTGATCCCTGGGCCGCCTGTGTAAAAAGGAGGATCTTTAAAAAATGTAAAGAAAACTGAGGGAAGGGAGGTATTCATTAGCAATGCTAGAACTATATTTTGAAACTTTTTGTGGAAGTTGTTTAAATTTACATCATTTTTACCTATTTTTGATTTATTAACTACTTGTTAAGCTAATTTTAAAACTAGCAAGTACAAATAAACAATAAGCTATTTGTGGCTATCTTTTAGCCTCCACTTGGGCAGGACATTAGATATGAGATCACCTGCTAGGACGGCTCTGACCTGCTCCATACAACCTCCACAGTGTAAACATCTGAGCTGTAGCACAGAACTGACCAGTGACGGTTTTCCAGCTCCGACGTCGGTCACTTTTGTGAATGCTGCCGTGGCTGTCGGCCCAGTAGTACCAGCCACGGCTGATGTCGAACGTCAAGGCTACCGCATCCAACACTGGAAAATGGACCGGATTGAACTGTGGAGACTTTACTGTCAGCAGACCCAGAGTCCTTTTCTGTACCATCAGCAGTCTGGTGGCATTACCTGAGCAGAGGACACAGTTGGTGGAGATGATTGAGGGAGTGTCACAGCTTGATTCATTCATCATAAATGTCTCTCTAAGGACTCGTAACATCAAGCCTTCTATTTAAGGGCCGATGATATTAAAACATATAAAGGCCCAAAAGTTAAAGTTAAAGGCCCTAATACAGATGTATCATGTTGCTATGTCAAATGTTGACCTGTGTTATTTTAGGTTTAATTAATAAGGTTTTTCAACACACTTTTTTTTAACATCAGAGAAACCATACAAAAAAAAAAAACTGAGAAACAAATAAAATTATATTTTAAGCAAACTTCAATAAAGAGTTGTTAAATTGACCATTTGCAACACATTTTCTAAGTTTTCATTTTTAACCCTCCTTTGTTGTATTCTAAAGAGATGAGCTGCTCAACTACTTCAAATATGTCCTTTATATTTATATCAGTGTCTGTATCAAAATGTCAGGTGACAGTTGACCGTTGGCTGTGAACTCCTCTGCTACTGAAGTCCAACTTCAATCTTTGATCTTATCAAGTCCTTTCTTCACCTGAATCACAACTTGACATCAAAACTGAAAAAAATTAACATAACAATAATCAAAGTCCTGGTGCGTGGCCCCATCTCCTGCTCTGGTGTCTGGTCTTTTTACAGGAGCTGAAACTGAATCCATCCCAGAGTCACATGATGAAATCAGGCTTATAATAATTCTGTGGGTTTTTTTTTCCAGTCCTTTTTTCAGACCTGTGGCTTGACAGTTGGAGTTTCCAATCAGACTGAAACCATCTCTGCAGTGGCAGTAGTAAGATCCCACAGTGTTGGTGCAGTGATGCATGCAGGGAGTCAGGAGGAAGGAGCATTCATCCACATCTGCAGAGGGAGAGACCAGAGAGACTCAGAGACAGGAACGTTGATGGAACCATGTTCTTTATTTTGCCTTCTAACTGTAAGGAAACAAGGAGTGCTTGTATTTCCATCTGCTATGCAGCGAGTTCTGGGTTTGATTAGACCTCCAATAGAATCAAGTCATTATGTTTGCACATGACATCATTTTAGATGCCAACAACTGAACTGAAATGACTGAGATCTCAGGGTCAGCTTTGTGTTATAACTCCTGACAGAGTGTAGTTTAACCAGTCTAAAAAAAGCACCAGGATAAAGATTCAAGGTCTCACCCACCTTCACAGATGGCGCCATTAGACGACAGCTTGTACCCACCAGGACAGGCACACAGAGTTCCCCAAGACTCGTCCACACACACGTGGCTACAGCCACCGTTGTTCACTGAGCAGGTACGACCTGAAAGGGGCGTGTGGTAAAAGAGCATGGAATTGATTTGTGCGTTTATTTATTCACCAAAACAAGTCATTTTGACAAATTCTGATCAAATATATAAATATAAACAACAATCACAGTCCAAAAAAACAAAACATTTCCACTCAAAATATATAAATCATACTCAACAAGGAAATCGTCAGTGAAACAAAGGGATCCAGTTACAGAGACTCCATAGTCTGTTGCAGTACAAGCCAGGTTTAGAAAGTGTGGCAAAAGGAGGGCTTGTTGACCAAAACAGAAAAGGGCCTGAACTTGAGGTAATGGGTGGCAGACTTACCACAGGTTATTGGTTCATCACTCCCATCTGAGCAGTGAGACTGTCCATCACATCTCTTATCAGGGGACAGACATGTCCCATCAGAACACCATACGTTGTTCTCAACACACTGAGCTGCATGAGGGTGAAAAAAGCACAGAAGAAAAAAAAAAAATATTATTCCAACTTATTTAATTATTTGACCTGTGTTTTGGATCTTTAAGTGCAGGAGAGGTGTGTTTTACGCATGGACGATATACATGTGATATATACATGTATCCTGCTTTATCTTCAATTTTCCTCTGAACAATATCATAATCTAAAACATTTACATTATTTTTAAACAAATAATTATTAACATTAGGAGTAAGAATTGAAAAGTTAAAAAATATAAATATAAATTCAGATTCTTCCACCAAAGAATTTTTTCTTCATTTTGTCAAGTTTTCTCTCAAGAAAGAAAACATGATTAAAGTACAAACTAATGGGAATGAAACATTAAGACAAATTGAAGTTTGAGCAAATGTCCTACAACATACTTTAAAAAGACATTCACTGTCTAAGACCGTGGGAATTACTCCATCACATGTACAATTATTTTCATTTGTTCCAATAGTGGTTACATCATCTTCCTCACCACAATCGCTCTCATCAGAATTGTCCATGCAGTCGTTCTGTCCGTTACACCTCAGCTCCGCAGGGACACACAGATAGTTCTGACAGGTCCAGTCCGAGTCCAAACAGCTAACAGTAACCGTACAGTTGTCCTCATCTGCTGGGACACTGCTTTATTCCATCACAGCGTGCTGATGCGTCCACGCAGTCCACAGAGTCCATGCAGGGAAACTGACCTTGTAGACACTGCGCTGGAGGGACAGAAATCACAGAGCAAACTGCGCTGGAGGGACAGAAATCACAGAGTGATTAAATGAGCAGAAAGTTGGTTTAAATGTTGTTGTTGTTGACCATTGAGTTGACCAACCAGCAGCACAGTCCATCTCATCAGACCCATCCAGACAGTCTCCGTCTCCGTCACATCTCCAAATATCTGGGACGCAGTTCCCATCGTCACACTGCCACTGCCCTGGAGGACACCGCACTATCTGGGCTACAATAATAAAAATAACAAGGATAATAATATACAAGAGGTTTTATCAGATCAAGGTGGACTGCCTCTGAAAATGACATTTTCTTTAAGAAACACAAACAAGTGTGTAATGTTTGAGTCACGTGTGGAAATTATGTTACTCTGTAAGCAAAATGGTTTTTACTTCCACAATTCCAACCAAAGTTGGTAAATATGCAGCAGTGTTGACAAGATGAATGATTAGAACAATTTACAAAACATTATCTTATTCAGTTTAATGTTTGGAGTTGTGTTTTAGTCAGGGTATAAAACATACTTTAATGTGGGTAAAAAAAAAAAAAAAAAAAAAAATCACTTAACAGATGACTTCCTAATCAAATACACTATTAATCCAAGCAGTGTCCTTGTTGGGGAAACAGCGCTTCCAAGAATAAAACAACGTTACATACAACGACCGGTGACTATACTAATAAATATTTCCGTTTTATCTAGTAATTAGTGAAATAGAATACTGCCAAAATATCGACTTAAAACAGACTAAATTAAATAGTTTCGTTTTCGTTTTGTTTGTTTTTTGTCTTACTGCTGGTAATATTTTCTTTAGTGTTAAAGGATGGAGGTCCACTACTGTAAATTTCAATTCCTTTGGACACATTCAAGGATTTTGAAAGCTATTGTAAAGTCAAGTCCAACATTCAAATTGTGTAATGGGAAGTAAACTGTACACCAACAACTAAGATAACCACTGAAAATTAAAAGGTTTGTCTTCAAACAAACAATTGGTTGTTGTACAAATATTGTATGTAAAAATATGCTAACGTCAACCAGCCCTCAAGTTCGGTCGAACGGAGGTTCAGAGGAAATATATATTTGAAAAGGCACTTGTTTTTCCCGGTCTATTCATCACGTGTTGACATGTTTGAATATCTGAAGCCCTCAATGGCTCCTTAATATTGTATACTTCATCTCAAAGCCAAACAAACAAACAAACAAACAAACAAACAAAAACTACGAAACAAACAGACGATAGTCAACAGTTTTTCAATAAACTGTTGTATCACACACGCACAGGATAAAGCACAGTAAACAGAGATGTTAGGATAAAATAAAATAGAAAAATAACATTACTAGTTACATTAGAGTACTATACAAATCCAGAGGCCCAAAGCCTGGCGCCTTATACTACATATATCGAAGTACGTGTACAAAACGCTGTATATTTGCATGTGGAAGTTGATGTCTGTACCTCAGGTGGAAACAAATGACCAAATACTCCTGCAGTGACGCACACGGTACGAAAATGAACACTTAATTAAAACACCGTTACCTGTGGTTATTGAGACTTTGATGAAGAAGATGAGGCAGGCGAAGTAGTTCAGGTCCATGGCGGCCCACGAACCTCGTGCTCACAAACCGTTGCAGCTGAGAGGAAGAGATTTAATGGGCGGCCGCAGCAGGTGTGAGGATCACCCACTCAGAACAGCCGAGCAAACACCAGGAGATGTTTAGGTTCTGCGGGAAAATGCACGTCGGTCATCACACTTTTTTTTGTAAATATGAGAAGCAATAATTATAATAATTAACAATTTTGTCAGTGTGACTAAGTCATCAACTTGTAAACACTGTCTGTTCTGTATTTAAAATGTAAGTGTGTAAAACTTAATTAATAGTTCCAAATAAATCGAATTTCATGGAACACTGGCGAAAAATATCAGGTTAAAAACAAAAAGGAATATAAATATATATAATAATATATAAATAAAGTCAAACTGATCTTCATTCATCTTTTTGGCGTTAAGCTAACATTGTTTAGTTTTGTATTCTTTTAGTGCTTTTTTCGTTTTTACGCACGGTATTTTCCAAAAGTAAGATATTTTACATTGACAAAAACACCAAGCCAGTAAAGTACCAAGCTGAAGTAATTCAGATAATACTACATGAACTCCTCCACTTATTAATCTTGCAATTAATTCTGTATATCTGGCGTTTTTTGGGTGCATAACGCGTGCGTAAAATGTGCGTAATATGATGAATGGTGCAGCAAAATACCCGGATATGAGGAATTTTGGTTTAAATAATTGTCTTAAAGTTTTACCAGATTTTTTAAAAGATTTTTTAAATCCTAAATATTTACGTAAAACACTTAATTAAAAAGTTAATATTTCTTTGCATTTCATTCATGTTCGGTCAAAACAATAACTGGAAACCAAAGTTCTGTTTGATGATGTGAACATAAAGAATCTTCTAAGGTGGTTCACCTGGTTCAAACCAGTGGACACTGATGGCCCATCATCTCCACCTTCTTTGTTCTGTTCCTTCACCTGATCTTCATCAAAGCTGTGATCTTCTCCATCAGCTCTTTCTTCTGCCCTCTGAGGTCAAGTGTCCACTTTGTAACCTGTAACATGAATGACCACTGACCAGCTGGACCATCGTGTGACGTCACTGATGTTTGCGTTTAACATTTCTGTTCATCGTGGATGCAGCACATGAAAGGGTTTAATTTGAAGTGGTCCAAAATCAGTTCAAACGAGCAGTACAAAGAAAAAATATATAATAAAAATGTTGGAAACTGAAACTTACTCCATTTGTTAGTTTGTATGTTGTTTTATGTGCGTTATTGAAAATAAATAAATAAAATCAGATGAAGTCATATATACAAATGATATGTGGTATATTTGTTATTGTGTATCACGTTTCTGATTATAAAAGATCAAATATACCTTACATCCTTACATCAAAAATAAAAAATAGTTCTTAGAAAATAAATACAAAAGAAAACAGGAAATATAAATGAATAACTATTTTATCAAATACCTGACAAAATAAACAATTATTGAAAGAAAAAGTATATTAAGTGAAATAATATCATGAATTACTTTAATTAAATAATTTAGTAATAGTATTAGTATTAGTAATGAATAAATACCTCCTTTTCATATGGAACTTTCCAAGGCTATTGACATAGTTAATTGATAAAACAAAAAAAATCGACAAAAATACAATAACCTATATCTATATATGTGCTGTCATATCGATATGCACAGGTATGCAAAATAATCGTGATTCTTATAATTTGACTTATATCTGCACAGAACACGAATCGAATATCAACGAATAAGTTATAATAAGTTATAATATTGATTCTGTCAGATTTACTAGTAACTGCAAATATTTACATTTCTTTGTTGTTTTTTTAATACACACATTTATTTGACAAAAGGACTCTTGTGAAATCTTCACATTTGTTACTAAAAGTCTCCTCTTGTGCCAAAGGAAGTGGGCTCTAATTTGAACCTATCAGTGATGCTGAGCTCGTCATGGTGCCCATCACCATCCGACCCACCTTCACCTTCAGAGCCAGCAGCCCGGGCCACAGAAAGTGACCAGTGATTAACTCCAGAACTGCTGCAGTTTCCCATTAATCACTGCCCAGTTGTGCCTCTATAATCTCCTTAACCAAAATTATTGTCCAGGGCTTCCTATCAAAGGATCTGTAACGCAGAAGAAGAGCAACAATCACCGAGGTGACGTTCGGCCATTCACACCTGCGCCGCTACATAGAGCCGCTGGTTTCGATACACAACGACCCTGTCACATTAGAGAGGGGCCGTGGATCAAACACACACGCTCACACACATCCATCATCCGTCCACGAAGGCTGAGCTGACAGGCCAGTTCAAAGCACGTCAACGCAGGAGGTGTGTGAGGATAAAACCAGATCTGTGCTTCCCACCTGGACCATTCAGCTTCACCTGTGGAGCAGAGAACACCTCCAGTGCATCATGAAGGGACTAGCTGTGGATTTCTCTATTGGACTGCTTCTGGTCCTGCTCTTGGATTTAGTTCTGGCTCAACAGGACTCGCTCATCAGTGCCATCGGATCCAGACGCACGGTTCGGCGGCAGCAGGGCACCACCAACAGGCTGCCGCTCTACATGATGCAGCTCTACCGGACCATGCTGACCGAGGACCGGCGGGGCAGAGGGCCGGGCGCCGCGCCGAGCAGGGCGGGAGAGAAACCCGGGCTACACCCGGCCGAC